TCCTTCATCACCACTGCCTCCAGTTCCTGCTACTCTGGACAGGCACACCTGTAGCCTTAAGCTCCACATGTTTTTAGCCTTTGGCAACTGTAAACTTTGTCTCTATCTCTTTAATTAGTCATTAAAGGATGTAATGTAGGTGGAAAAATGACACACAAAAGGTTGCTGAATCTGTGGAATCAGGCACTGCAACGGAGAATATAGGAGAAAGTTGGAGAAGGGTCAATTTTGCCAAAGTAATGGATAAAAGTTGTACATACCCAATGAACATTAAACTCTGTAATGTTCTTTAAAAGAAATTAAAATTAAAAGTAATGGAATAATAACTTGTATTAATGAGGCAGGGCAGCATTCACATGATTCACTCAAGAAAGGTCCATGAAGGAAAAACTGTCACCTACTATGGGAGAAGATCTACCACTAGGTGGAGACCTGCCCATGTTCCTCCATTAAGAGCTATTCATGTTGGGGAGGTCCTTGATCTGGCTAATGATCTGCCTTGGAAAGTCAAGTTTACCTTCATCCACACTGAAGAGATAGGAGGAATACTTCTCCCTTCAATGAGGTAATGAATTTTCTTTCCCAGAGTGTCTTTTCCCAGCAGTGCAATGCCTAACATCTGCCATGAATTTGGGCTGAGCCTGTCTGCCTTCTGAGCCCTGACCTGGAAGGTAGGACTATTCTGTCCATCCCCCCATACTTGTCCTTTCTTTCTCCTCTAAAGCTCCCCTCCCAGCCATGTGTTTGCTTGTATAACCTGTTGCTGTCCGTCAAGAAGGCTCAACACAATATACATACATATCCCTTCCCCATTTCTTCTCCATTTTCCTTTTGGGGGTGTAGGGCCCTGGCCCCCCATTTTGGGCAGCTGCCACCTTGACCAGATGTCCTCCCTATGCTGATTCCCTGCTGGTTTCCTTCTTTGTTCGAGTATCCTGCATTTGGTGTAAACAGCTTAGATGTAAGAATGAAGAACCTTAGGTAGGGAACTTCTGCCCTCCATTGTGCTGTAAGCCTGTATTTAAGCTTTCCTCCCTCTTTCAATAAATGGCATTGGCATTAGGCATTCTGCTGGAGCGAATGACCTGCTGTTTCTTGTCTCTATTTTTTAATTCACAGCCCCTTGCTCAGACATGGTGAATCGGTGGTGGTAACGCGGGCACTACCGTAACATGGGGGCTGCTACTGAGATTGACAACTTGCTTGCCCTGGAGCTTTCCATTTAAATTGCAATATATTATCCTGGAACCCCCTTTTCAGTCCATTACTAAATTCTTTCAAAATGAGACTAAGTACCCTAAGAGAGTACCCTGTTTTTAGCTTATCGGTAA